GTAGCATCACACAAGCCCACAGGGAACGTCTGCAGGTTCATCTAGAAACTTCTACCTCCCCAGGTGTTAAGGTTCCAGAAAGTCTCAGTGGACACCTTGCTCTCCTCCTGTAGCCGCTAGGGACGTTGACAAAGGACAATTGTGAGTCTCAGGAGTGGCAAGGCGGCGGGCAGATTTGGTTGCTCCAGAGGGTCCCTCGGGATCCCCATCCCTTCACACTGTATGAGGGTCTCATGAGGACCACTTCACCTTCCGCTCTAGAGTTAGGGCTTGGGGCCAAGTGAGAGCTCCCTTGATTACTTGTGGGTTTTCTGTGGCTAAGGGTACACCCCAAATGCAGCATCAAGAAAACAGTGTCTGGGCTGAGGAGACAGCCCCACTGTTAAGGGCACTAGCTGCTCTTCCGGAGGACCCACTTTGGTCTCCAGCACTCATGTGGGATGGCTCACAACCATCTCTATCTCCACCTCCATGGGACCTGACACCCTCAGGCACCCGTGCGCACTGCACACGTGTGCACATAGCCTCACAGAGACACATACTCATGCACATAAATAAAAATAAAATAAGTCTGAAAGAAAATAGCATCTCTTCTTTCTTGGCATTTTGAGTTACCTTTGGAGTCTGTCTTCCCAGCCTATGGGGCTTAGCAGTTCCCAGGGGAAGAAAGATTAAATTATCTGAGCAGCTGCCCTGCCTGGGGGAATGCCTGCAGCAGGGACCGTGCACCCTTTTCTGAAAGTGCGTATCTAGGAAACCTTTAAAGTATAGTAATTTAACCTCGGGGTAGTGATGGCTTCAGGGTGGTCTTGTTAAACCTGGAGGGGACTCAGGGAAAGTGGCAGTGGAGGACCTAAGACTTTAGTTAGATCAGCAGACCTAGTTCATGATCTTGGGCTTCCAGAGAATCTTTGTCTGTTACTCTTCCTGGCTTCTTTGATGATTTTTCACCCTCAGCCAAGTCCTGGTACTACCATTGCCAAGGCGGGGACTGGGGGATGCTTTAGTGTCTAAGAGGGCTTGCAGTGCAAACATGAGGACCTGGGTTCAGAACCCTGGCACCCACATAAAAAGGGAGGTGTGCACCTCTACCTCAGCACCGTGTGGGGGGGGGGCAGACAGAAGGATGTACAGATCACTGGTTGAACGTTATTTGGTGTCAGTCTGGGAGCGCATTTCTGGAGGAAGTTAGTACAGAGTTAAGCTCTGGAGATCTGCCCACCAGTGTGTCTGGCTGCATCTGGAGTGTCAAGGGTCCACACCGAACAAAAGATTAGTTCTCTCTGCCTCCTTGTGCTGGGACACTCCCTTCTGCTTTTGGAAGTCAGACGCCTTGGTTCTTAGGCCAGAGCTCTGCTCACTGTAGGCTGGAAGTATCAGAGGCATCAGAGAAGAACCTGTTCCTTCCATGCCCTTGTAGGGACACACAGTTCCAAAGAAGAAGGAAACAAGCAGAGTCCGGGATTGGTCAGTTTCACAGAGGATGAGACAAGAGGCCACTGATTTGTGTACGTGTCAGGGTGGCTTTCAGTGCCTGCAGCTCCAGCCTGGGCCTCCTTCCCAGCATGCACCACGCTAACAATAGTGACGGCCTGTATTGTTCCGTAGCTTGATAGTTATGGTAAAGAAACAAGGGTAGCTACTATACCTGCTGAGCAGCCTCTCTCTTAGATGCATCTGTGCAAGGGAGAAAGTTCTAACTCTGTGATGTGCTCTGCTGTGCCGTGTGAAATCCCAGTTTCTCCGTGATGCTAGGAAGGGGATATACACCCTAAGACCCATGTCAGCACGATTTGAGGGCTTCATGTGAAATGTTCCCTGGCCTCATGTGTCTGCATGAGTAGTCCTGAGATGGTGGGTGCTCATTGAGAGGGTCCTACCTACCTGGAGGCAGCGGGTCACCGGGGAGGGGGGGCAAGCCTTGGGTTTTAGTGCACCCCAGCTTCCTGCCCCAGGGTCTCTGCTTCATGTCCTAGGTTTCCTAATTCCTGTCCCACTCTCTGCCTGCCTAGACTCCCTGCCTCTTGCTCCAGATTCTTTGCTCCCATTCTCAGGCTCCCTGCTTCCTGACTTGGCCCCCTTCTTCCTGCCTAATGTTCTCTGCTCCCTGTCCCAGGTTCCCTGCTTCCTGATTCCCAAAGATATGGCGCTTCCCTCACCAGCCATGCAGACAGGAGCTGGTTCCTCCTGCCTCCAAGGTGGAAGGAGATAATTGATGGCTACAAGTTGTTGTTCTCTCTCTCTCTCTCTCTCTCTCTCTCTCTCTCTCTCTCTCTCTCTCTCTCTCTCCCTCCCTCCCTCCCTCCCTCCCTCCCTAAAAAGCCACAACTTCACAGGCATGCAAATTTTTATCCCCACCTCAGATCAGTTTCTTTCCTCTACAAGCTCCTGCCAAAGTCACTGTCCTCCCTTGCAATCTCTGCTTAGCTGTCTCTGCTGTGGATGCTCTCACCGCCACACTCTTAGTCCACTCCTGGGTTTATGCGTTGCTATGGGTGAATAGAAATCCATCTCCAGATCCCGTCTCGTTTCTCTGATCCCTGGAACATGTCCCCTGAAGTCTAAGAACTCTGGCTCCTGAGAGACCTGGAGTCGATGTGGTCGTGGTTTGTTTGACCCACAAATGGTCTTGTTCTTTGCCATCTAGCCCTTCCCTTTTCCATATGCCACCTGGATGTGGCACACTATTGGCAGTCTTCACGCGATATGGAAGCCCCAACGCTTCAAATGTCAAGCTCAAAATTAGCCTCAGCCCTAAGGAGCTGTTGGCAGCGTGGAGACCAGATAGAGTCAGGGATTGGTGCTCAGAGTCACGGTTCTTACCATTTTGGGGACATGTGCCACTTTTGAGAAGCTCTACTGTGGGAACTTCACAAAAACACGCATCTGTGGGTGGATGTATACATTTGCACATGGCTTCAGAAGATGATCTGTGATTCACTCACGAGCTGTGCACCTTTTGGGGCATGCAATCTGGATAATTGCATGTGTGCGTGGGTGCGCATATGTGTGTGCGCGTGTGTGCATGTGTGCATGCATGCATGTGTGTGCATGTGTGCATGCATGCATGTGTGTGCGCGCGTGTGTGTGTGCGCGTGCATGCGTTCGTGTGTGTGTGTGTGTGTGTGTGTGTGTGTGTGTGTGTTTACTCACCGGGTACAGAGGTCGGAGGAGTGCCCAGCTCTATCACACTGGCCTATTCCCTTGAACAGGATTTCTCATTGAACATGGAGCTAGGCTGTCTGCCTGCAAGCCTCAGTAATCCTCCTGTCTCCCTAACCCCCTTACTGAGCTAAGATTTAGGTGCATGTATGGTTATTCATGGCTTTCTGTATGGGTGCTGAGGATTCGAACTCATGTCCTCAAGGGCTAAGAACATCTAAATCATATCTTGAACCCCAAGAGGAGAGGTTTTTCTTGGGCTTGATTTTGTTTTTAACAACATCAGATAGTTGAGAATGAAACAATTTGAATCTGCAACTCTGGGGTTTTAGAATTATATATTTTTAGGCAAAATATATTCCCAAGACTACACTTTGAAACCCGTTTCAAATTACACTAACATGTCATTTTTTCAGAACCTAATTTCATTTTTTTTTTAAAAAAAATACGCTTAGTTAGCTCTCTCTTGAACTGACTTGTTCAGACACACTTGCCATTTCAGGAGGAAGCCCTCGTGGGATTTCAGACATGGTTCCGAGATCCTCCTTCTCACCTGAGCTCTCTGGTCGGTTCCCGATAGGCTTTTTGATAATGATTTCAATGAAAGAAAGTCAGACATGCTATGACCAACAATCACCAGTCCTGAAATAGCTGCTCTGTTTGGTGGGGGTCACGGGGTCTCTGGATGTCTAAAAATGGCAGGAGGGGAAATGTGTGGAGCTCGGAATGGGCGGCGAGGTTTGGAAAGAATCACTCAGCCTATGACTCACTGAGGCTTTGCTTCCTGTGTCTTTACCGTGTCTGCTCGCCTCTGCCCCTGCTCTTATCAGCCTGCTTCCCCTCACACACCTTTGTCTGTCTGTCAGTCCTACCAACATTCCCTGAGTCACCTGGTTCTGAAGGGAGCATAGTGCGGCTATAGACAGATACTAATGAGGGACCTGTGGGGAGTGGGGAGGAGAGGAATCAGCCCCGATGAGTGGGGTGTCCTGCAGGAGTTTTCCCGAGGGGTCTGAGATGATGAGGGTGTCATCCTCTATCACACACTTCCTCCTGTTCAGCCCTGCAGTGTGTCCTAAGCCAGAGACCTCTGCGTGAGAGGAGCAGGTCAGATTTCACGAAGAACCGATAGACGCTCCACATGTTACCAGAGGGGGGGTCTCAGGTTCTTTGTTTCTTGGACAATGAAGGGGACATGAGACAGCACGGCAGTTATGAAACCGTAGATTGATTAAAAACAAAAACAGGATCTGGAGAGATGGCTCAGAGCATTGAGGGCTGGAGTTTGATTCCCGCACCCACCTCAGGCGGCTCTCTTCTGGCCTCTGCAGTTTTACCTGCACTCATGCACACATACGTTCACACAGACACACATTTGCCCACAAAATATTTTAAAGTCTCTCTCTTTTTTTTTTAAGGTGAGAATAAAAACAGAGGACCCTCCACAGGAGGGAGCATGCATAGGTAGTTCAAGAGCCCTGACTTAGAGTTCAGGGTTCCTTTCTTCCAAAGGCCAGAGAGAAGTTAGTTGACACTGTGGATCTTTCTTTGGTTGTTGTAGGTAGTTGATTTTCCATTTGCTGGAGTAGGCTTATTCAATTCTTGGGGTGGTCAGGCAGAGTCTGAACGAAGCCCTCCTTGTTTGCTGGGTCCCTACCTTAAACTTTTGTATGATTCACAAACCTTCTTGCCTCACAAGTGACTGTCACCCTGATGAATTTAACAGACACCCAGAGGCCAGCGCCTCTGAAGGCTCCCGCCTCTTCCCAGTCTCCTTGTGTTGTTTCACGGTGTGTCTTGTGTTTCCAGTGCACTCACAAAGCCTTTTCTCCACACAGGCTATGGGCACACGGTGCCCTTGTCAGATGGGGGCAAGGCTTTCTGCATCATCTACTCTGTCATCGGCATCCCGTTCACCCTCCTCTTCCTGACGGCCGTGGTCCAGCGTGTCACGGTGCATGTCACCCGCAGACCCGTCCTCTACTTCCACATCCGCTGGGGCTTCTCCAAGCAGGTGGTGGCCATCGTCCATGCTGTTCTGCTGGGGTTCGTCACCGTGTCCTGCTTCTTCTTCATCCCAGCCGCTGTGTTCTCCGTGCTGGAGGATGACTGGAACTTCCTCGAGTCCTTTTACTTCTGCTTCATCTCGCTGAGCACCATCGGCCTGGGGGATTACGTGCCAGGGGAAGGCTACAACCAGAAGTTCCGAGAGCTGTACAAGATTGGGATCACATGTGAGTACCCGTGGCGGGCTGCACCCTGCGTGCCTGCCCTGCCGAGAGCTGTACAAGATTGGGATCACATGTGAGTACCCGTGGCGGGCTGCACCCTGCGTGCCTGCTCTGCCGAGAGCTGTACAAGATTGGGATCACATGTGAGTACCCGTGGCGGGCTGCACCCTGCGTGCCTGCTCTGTCCCCACGTTCTTTGTCTAGGGACTGACAGTCCTGTGACAGTGCCTGCCTGCTTTCTCTTGGATCTATTTTCTTCATTCCCCTGACTTCCTAGAGCTATTTCACTTCACCCATTCCAATATCACAACTCTTACTGCTTAGTGGTGTGCCCAATGCACCTGGAAGTCACTGCTAAGATTCTTGTATGTGTGTGTTTTTATGTGGGGTGTGCAAGTGTTCTTGTTTGTGCTTGTGAAGTCAGAGAACAACCTCCCCAGTCCTTCCTCCAGTGCCTTCTTCTTTTTGTTTGAGACAGGGTCACTCTTTGACTTGGTATTTCATCAGCAGCCTAGGCTGGCTGACTAGGGAGCTATAGGGACCCACCTGTCTCCGCCTCCCATCTCGACATCTCTGGGATTACAAGTACAAACCATGGCACCAGCATTTCCCAAGGGCTTGGAAGATCCAGCTCACACTTGTGATGCTCTTGACTGCCAGGGCCATCTCCCAATCCCTGATGGATTTCTCAGATGGTATGACAGGCATACTAGACTAGCTGTCTATTACTGCCGTAACTTACATTACACCGGTAACTATTTACACGCAGGAAAATAAGACCTCTGCTTGTCACCAACATTGTGGTCTTTAATTTTCCAGGAAATTTCTCTAAGTAGTCACTGGCCTCATTTGTCTGTGTCTTGAAGTTACCTGGCACCAATTCTTCTCAGAATTTACGTGTAGAAAATGAGGCAGGCAAATTTTAGAGGCCTCAGTTGGCAAAGTGCCGGTTGCTCAAGCCTGAGAACCTGAGTTCAGATCCTTAGTGTCCATGTGGAAAGCCAGGTGTGGTGGAATGCTGGCGGGGACAAACACAGAAGGATCCCAGGGTCGCTGACAGGTCTGTCTAGCCAAAATGGCAAGCTTCAAGTGCAGCAAGAGACTCTATCCCAAAAATAAGCCGGAGGGCCATTGAAGACAGACTGCCGACCTCTGGCGTCTACAGTGAAGACAGAGACTGTTGACCTCTGGCGTCTCCATGCACATTCACCAGCAAGCACACCCACATACATGCATGCACACAGCACACAGTCTGGAAAAAGGCAGCCATTCATCTGGAAGAAGCAGATTTTCTGTGAGCCCTCTCTGTGGGCTCAGGATGAGTAGCAAGCAGCCCTAGCATAGTCTCCTCTGCTGCCTTCCCTGGGCTCTTTTCACCTGTGACCCTGCCCAGCTACAACTTCTAGGAAGCAGTCGGTGTCCTCGCCCTGTCTTGCTGTCTTAATTCCAGAAAGCGGTTGGTTGAACTATATTTGAACACTTCGGTGAAACCGTCAGCTCACCAGGAACAAAACCTGCACTCATAAACCCAGTGCTTCCTGGCTTTTGGCTCCAGTCCAAGCACAGTAAACATTTGCCAGAGTGTTCTGCGGGAGGGTTTCCTACTCTTTGTTATTTTAGAGTCTGGGTGTAGCTCCAGGACCACCCCACAGCCGGCCTGCCTCGCTTGTAGAGCTAGACTGGCTTGCCTCTAATTTGGTAGCATGGCAAATCTCCTCAGTATGGAGTTCTTTTTGTGTTTGTATTTGAGATCTTTCTAAAAAGTGGGATTGCTGGCCCCAAATGAACACGCTTCTTTCGTGAGTCACAGAACATAATTCTGAGGCCCCCAAAGGGAACACAAGTGCACACAGTCGCTGGTGTCCGAGTTTCCATCCTCTTTGGGTGGCAAAGGCATTTTGTGCGTGAATTTAATAGCAGTGTAGATAGAAGCCATCTTAAGTTTCTTTCCAGCTAGCAGGCAAGTCTTTAGTTTTCACTTGGCTTTCTAATTTCTTTGAGTAGTGGAATGTCCCTGAAATTGTGTTTTCTGGTTCATCTTTTCTCTTGTATTAATTGTTCTTTTCTATCTCCTGATCTGTGAGCTAGCTTAGCTTTCCAAAAAAACACCGAATCCAGAGGGCATGGCTGCACACCCGCAGCCCCCGCATGCCCGCCAGAGAGCATGGCTGCACACCCGAAGCCCCCGCATGCCCACCAGAGAGCATGGCTGCACACCGCAGCCCCCGCATACCCACTAGAGGGCATGGCTGCACACCCGCAGCACTAGTGGCAGCAGAGGCGGAGACAGAAGGGTCGCTGAGGCTTGCTGGCCGCCAGCCTAACTCCAGGTTCATTGAGAGACTTTGTCTCAAGGAATGAAGCAGAGAGTGAGCGAGTGGGCCATCCAGTGTCCCAGCCTCTGCACTCACGTGCATGGGTGCACCCTCCTACCTGTGTGAAGCTCACACATATGATCGAAGCCCGTGGTTGTGTCTAATCCAAGTTCACCCATGGCTAAGTCATTTCATTCTTCTTTGGGTTCCTCCATGAGCCCTGGACTTCAAACATGCTTCGGAATAAACTGGCCACAGCTTGGAGAACTCTGTGTGTGTGGCGTGGGAGGAGAATAAGTCATGCAGTCTTGATTTTGTGGTACTTGGTCGAACTGAGCTGCTGCCGTGTTTTCTGCCTTGCAGGCTACCTTCTCCTCGGACTCATTGCCATGTTGGTCGTCCTGGAAACCTTCTGTGAGCTCCATGAGCTGAAGAAATTCAGGAAAATGTTCTATGTGAAGAAAGACAAGGATGAGGATCAGGTTCACATCATGGAGCATGACCAGCTGTCCTTTTCCTCCATCACTGAGCAGGCGGCCGGCCTGAAGGAGGATCAGAAGCAAAACGAGCCTTTTGTGGCCTCCCAGTCACCCCCCTTTGAGGATGGCTCTGCGAACCACTGAGCCCGGGCCGTCAGATCCTGGACGTGAGGCAGAGCCTTGACTGTCCATTTTTACAAGGAAGTCAAAACAAGATGACGTCATTTTAAGAAATATTAATATTTTAAAAACTTGGGACTTTGGGCTCTGGAGGTGGGTGTCTAATCCCTGCCCAGATGAAATGTGTGCCTGTAATTCATAGGAGACACATCACCTGGACATCACATACTGGGACGGATACTTGAAGCAGTGTGCTGCAGGGGATGGGAGCAGATTTTATATATAACCGGGGACTCTGGGTTTGCATTCCAATCATTTTTGCTGACAGCTATAATAGCAACATTTATATGTAAAAAATATATAGAGAGATGTATTTTATAAATAGGCTTAAGTGTCCTGGCTTGCATGTACCTCTCCAAAATAATTATTTTTGTAGGATCTAAATTAACGCTATTTATAATAAATAGGTTACCATCCACTGTGTACATAGAACATATAAATATGTTTATAACCTGTACATACGTGTAGGCTACCAGATCTCCCTGTACTCCTTAAGCAAAGATAAGGAATATTTTTTTCTTTTTGATTTCTCTTTATACTAAAGAACTCAAAATTGCCACAACAAGCTAGAAGGCATAAGAAACCCAAGAGAAAATCAGTATGATATTATATTACCGTATTTGTTTCTGCCTTCTTACGATGGTGTGGGACCAGATGGCCAGTGAGGAAGAGGACTTATGAGAAGGTGAAGATATCTGGTCTGGAAGAGTTACTGCTGTTTCTACACACCTCACAGTAAAGCACAGGACACAGTGTCAATGCCCCCAATGAACAGATTACGTCAGGCTAATCTGAGAAGTCTACATGTAGAAGCTGAAGTCAATAAAATCACGGCAGGCTGCAATCTCGTGTTCTACTCTGTCTGATGTTTTCCTCCATACCTATAGTCTCTATGGGCACTGCTTTAGGGATAACGATAGTAGCCATCTGGGATGTACCTGGTGTATCTGGGATATCAGGAAGGCCCTGTGTGATGTCAGATGTTCACGATCTTGCTGTCATGGCTCATACCCAGAGGTGATTCCCCTCACCTGGTGATGACCTGGTCACATCCGTGACTGCAGGGTGTGGTATCCTCACATTAGGTAGCTCGCTCCCACCACCTAAGCCCCTTGTTGCCCACTCCGGCCTTATTCTCCCAACATGGATCTGAACCAGGCTTGGGCCATTTTATTCCAGAATTACTATATCACAGCACAGCCCTGGAATTAGCAACCTTACAGGCAAATACAATCTCAGGTGTGAAAAGTTTGAAGTCATTTTATGTCATTTGCTCAGTGTTGGGATTTGAATGTTTTTAACACTCAGTTCTCCACTTGTGGTACTTTTTGGTACCACATGATGGAATGGATCCTCTGAAGCCTTGAGTCAAAACAAACCCTTCCTTAAGTTATGTTTGACAGCTAATTGGGTCACAATAATGACAAGAGCAATAGACACGCTAAGCTGGGGGCTGAGCCTCCCAGTCTCTTTGTTCATGGCTCTGTGTCCCCTGCTTGGGTCATGAAGAGAAGTTTGAGAAGGCAGAGGCTGAGAATCATCACTGTTAGGAGGTCCCACTCGTGTCTCCTGTAAGTGTCAGGACTCAGAATCACAGGAGAGGGAGCTACAGCAAGGGAGGACCACGTGACCGTCATCTGCCCACCAGTGCTCAGGAAACAGGTCCACAGCGTCGGCAGCTGCTATGAACTCCAGGCTCAGGCATCCCTGGGAGAGGAAACAATGTTGACAGCTGAGGAAGTAATGGGTGAAGTGGGCTCTCGAGGGGACACCTATGAATGGAAATAACACACATGCCGGGTAGCAGTGCAAGGCCATGGTGCTGGTGACACTGTGAGTGAGCAAAAGGAGCATGGACTCAGCCGAAGGTTGGAAGCAAGGTTCTGTGGGGAAGCTGGTCCTAGAAGATTAAGCATAAGGAACTTTTTTGGAGACCAGGTACTGTTGGTTGTTTTTACTCTTTGCTCTTTGAGGGTCCCACACCCAGCCCCCAAATAGATCACATGGAGGCTTATTCGTTCTTATGAATGCCCAGTCTTAGCTTGACTTGTTTCTAGCCAGCTTTTCTTAAATTATCCTATTCACCTGTTTTTCTGCCCTTTTACTTTTCTCTATTTCTGTGTATCTTTTCTTTCCTCCTTACTCTGTGTCTGGCTGTGTGGCTGGGTGTGACCCCTTCTTTTCTTGCTACTTGATCTTTTCTTCCCAGATGTCACCTCCTATTTATTCTCTCTGCCTGCCCGCCTTGCCTATCCTTCTCCTGTCTTGCTATTGACCGTTCAGCTCTTTATTAGACCAATCAGGTGTTGTAGACAGGCAAAGTAACACATCTTCGCAGAGTTAAATAAATGCAGCACACCTTAGCATCATTAAACAAATGTTTCGCAGCATAAACAAATGTAACACATCTTAAAATATTATCCCACAACAACTGTATAAAGACCGAGTTTAGGAGCCAACAGAGACACCTGGCTCTGCCATCCATGCCACGCTCTGAGTGTGGGGTTCAGGTAAGCTACTCTCTACCATGGTGTTCTCAGTGTCTAAGATGCCTCATAGATGAAAGGATTATTTAAAACAATGCCTGTCACATTATATACCTGACCTGTCCCAGGAGGGGGACACTAGGATGGTTTCTTGAGGGTGTGGAGTTTATTAGAAAGGTTAGTAAAGACATGGACAGACAGATAGCAGTAGTGTGGGGGTTCTGAAGAAAGTTCAGGCCCCAATCATAGACAGACAGCACGGCTGGGCCTCTGAAGAGAGGAAGCCAAGGCTCTTGGGGGCCGATGTGGGGTATCTTCTACTTTCTGAGGAAGGGGGTGGGGAGGTTCACAGCACAAGCCAGGCAGAAGTTCAGGAATTTGGCAGGGACCAGGATGTATGGTCACTGTAGCTCCTTAGATTCAATTTCCTCTGCCAGTGAAACCCTAGAACCTGAAGTCTGTTACTAGGGATCCAGCAACAATGTCTCAGTTTGCATCTGGATGTCTGTGAGAAGGGAAGGTCTACTGCAAGGTATTGTGGGCTGAACAGCTGCTGAATTTGCACATCACAGTCCCCTAAACTGGACACCCCATGTCACTCTGTTGTGTTCTCAGATGGTCAGTCTTGGTTGCAGAAGGCTAATTTGGTAGAATGTTGGCCCAACTGCAACTATAGGGAATTTCTCATAACAATCCATAGGACACTTTTTGCTTTTATCCTACACCATTTAGCTGGCTAAGGTTCTTTGTCAAATGCATTTATTTCTGGGCCAGGAGATAGCTCAGTTAATAAAGTACCCCACAACCTTGAGGACCTGAGTTCAAGCCCCAGGGTCTATTTTAAAGAAAGGCATGCTGGCAATTTGTAAGCCCAGTGCTAGGGGAGCTTAGACAGCTGGGGCTGGGACTTGCTGGCCAGTAGCCTAGCCTGCCTCACCTGGTTGCAAAGTCCTGGCCAATGAGAGACTCTTTCAAAGTCACAAGATAGTTGGTGCTATGGAATGACACCTGAAGTTGTCTTCTGACCTCCAGAGGCACATGCACACACACACACACACACACACACACACACACACCAGCATAAGCATGCCACACTCAAACACACACTCTCCTATGAGTACACAGGGATGTATCCATTTCCAGAATTATCTGTCTACCTCAGGTACCCTTGAGATCAGATCCCACACTGATGTATTGCTGTGAACACAGATATCAGTAGTTACCCCTGTGACCTATGGGAGGACCCAGGCTCCGTTTTTGTAGGAGGAAAGTGTGTAGGATCAGAGTGAAGATCTTTATAGAATCAGCTACCATGAGAGAGATTTCTTCTCCCTATAAAAATTGACAATGGTGTTTTCTTGTATCTTCTCACTATATTAAGGCTACAGTTTAGGACCTCATCTGTCCAGGTAATAACAAACCAGAGATAAAATAGGAATTGATTTTCCCTGGCTCTTGCTGCACAATAATTGTGATGTTGGCAACAGCTCTGCTGGGGCTTTTGGAAGGCATGGGGGTGGATGGACATGTGTATGTGTGTGTGTAAGCATGTATGTATGTATATGTGTGTGAGTATATGAACACGGGATATATGTGTAGATGTGTATATTGGTACGTGTGTGTGGTGTATGTATATTTGTGGTGTGTGTGGTTTGTGTATGTGTATGGCCTCTGTGTATGTGTGGTGTGGAATGTGTGTAAGTGTTTGTACACATATATTGTGGTGTGTGTCTGTGGCATATGCATGAGGTACAATGTATCTTTGGAGCATGAGGCACAATGTATCTTTGGAGCATGAGGCACAATGTATCTTCAGCTAGGGTGCAGAGAGAGGTGAACCCTGGCATTCAATTTACTTACTCCTTTTTATTCAGCTCAGGACCCCAGCCTACGGCATAAAATCACCCACTGTTAGGGAGGTTTTTCCTGCCTTGATAAATATAATCTAGAACCTTCTCATAAGCTCAGAGGCCTGTCTGTTAGGTGAGACTAGACCGTGTCTGGGTGAAAGCCCGTATGAGCCACCACAGTTTCTTATAGTTGCACATGACCTGGGGACCCAGGGCAGCAGACGCAAGTGCTACAAGCAGTGGTCTACTCTCATCCAGACACTGCTTGCTTCCGTCCTAAATAAACATGCAAATGAAGCTGATAAAGCCTCACAGAGAGGCTTTTCCACCAGGAAGGTCTGAGTTTAGACATTTACACACACACACACACACACACACACACACACACACACACACGCATGCACGTTTAACTTTCTTTCAACTGTTGACCAGCTAAAGGTTCTCACAGGTCATGTACTGTCCCATGCTAAGCTTATGACAGCGGGTCTCTCCTCCCTCTTCTCTCTAGACTTGACACGCTCTTTATTCATTTACACAACAGTTTTTTTCCTCAATGGGTCCTGTTATTGACACTGTTATCCTTTTATTACCCTTCCTGAGGGTCCTAAGGTTCTCAGATGCTGCCTAGAGTTGGGCATCTCATCAGCGCCATAACCTATGGCACTTTTTGTTCCTTTAAGACATCTAGGGGAGGCCAGGCTATGGTGGTACATGCTTTTAATCCCAGTACTTGGGCGGCAGAGGCAGGCAGGTCTCTGTGAGTTCAAGGCCAGTTTGGTCTACAAAGTATGTTTCAGGGCAGCCAGGGCTGAAGAAGTAAGAACACCTGTTGTGACCTGCTCATGCGCATTGTGGCAAGTTTTCTTGTCAAACTGTCTTTGGTTGGTCATCCCACAAATAATGACCTGGAGACATTATTAACTATGAAAGTTTGGCCTTTAGGTTAAGCTTGTCCCCAGTTAGCTCTTATTACTTAAAAAAAAAAAAAAACTGTTTCTATTAATCTACATTCTGCCCTGTGGCTCCGTCACCTCTGCTCTGTACCATATGTCCTACTTCTTCAAAGTCTCATGGGTATCTCCGTCACAATCCACGCACCTAGATTCATCTCCAGCCTCTCTTTCTCTCCCTGGAAATTCTGCCTATCTCGCCTGCCAGCTATTGGACCATCAGCTCGTTATTAAACCAGTCACAGTGACACATTTTCACACAGTGTAAGCAAATATTCTGCAACAGTGCATCTTAGCGACGAAGGCCCGAGAGCTGTGTCTGCCACCACTGAGCACACAGCAAGATAAGTCACTGCTGATGCGTGTGCAAGGCGGTGTGAACAGGCCTGAGTAAGGCCACCTGTCTAATGTTAAAATCCTACATCCTGTGTAAGTCTGTGAACCTGAGTTTGAATTCCCAAAACATATAGGGTTTTTTGTTTGCTTTCAGTTTATGTTTCTAAGTAAGATAAAGTGGAATGAACCTGTATTCCGAATGCTGGGATGGTGG